GAGGGAGGGGGAGGGGGAGGAAGGGAAGGAGGGAGGGGGAGGGAAAGAGGGAAGGGGAGGGAAGGAGAGGGGGGAAAGGCTGCCCTATGGTCCGCAGGGCACCCCGCTTGGCACTTCAAACAACTGCAGCTAAATCATTCCTTGTGCTTGTATCTGCTCAGGGTGTCTCCCCCGGGGTTAGGAGCTGCAGGACAGCAGGGACGACAGGGCCCCTCCCCTGTGGTTTCCATGCGGCCCGACACGGGCCTGACACAGACCCAGAGCCAAGTGACTACGGGTGGCCACCCAGCTGGGCAGCTCAGTAGGCAGGGCTGGGCAGGGCCTCTGCCAGGGAGCATGGCACCAAGTATGCTGTGGGGTCGGGACGTCTAGGCTGGCTGTCACCCTGCTCCTCCCGTCATCCTGGGGCATGCCAGGGGCTCCACGGCTGGGGAGGCCACAGCCCTGCCCTGCCTACCCTGCTCACCATCTGAAAGAGGTTGTAGATCCGGGCACGGAGGATGTAGAGGTCGGCGTTGGGCGAGCCTTGCCTCAGCTCCCTGGTGATGAGTGTCAGGCAGTCGTGATGGCGCTGGAGGGCCAGGAGGCAGGCCATGCTGCAGGCAGCGGAGGGAGGTGGCCCACACGTGCCGTCTCTGGGACAGCGGGCGGGGCGGGGCTGCCGGGACAGGGCGCTGGGCACTCACCTCCGGTATCGGAAGCAGGGCTTCTCCGGCTGCAGCTCAGAGGCCTGGGAGAAGACCATCAGGGCATCCTTGAAGTTGCAGTGCTCATAGAGGTACTGGCCCTGGGCACACAGGGACAGTCCCTCAGGACCCCAGGGCCAACTCTGGGACAGAGGGGAGAGAGACAAGGGACAGGGACAGAGCTGATTAAATCTGGGAGAAATTGCAGATACGCAGAGTCAGAGATGGAGGGGAGGCAGTGCTGGGCAAGGGGCAGTGGCACAGAGCCCGGAGCGGAGCCCCCCGAAAAACAGGTGACAGCAGCAGCGCACACAGGGACAGCACGTAGCCCTGGGGCAGGAGCCCGAACTTGTCACCGTGCTGGCCCTGGCCAGCGGCCCCCTTGGGATGGAGGAAAAGGAATCTCAGAGAGATGAAATGACTTTCCTGAGGCCACACAGGAAGTAACACTATAGGACAGGGCCCCTGCCAGACAGCTTAAGCATAAAGCGTAGGCAGCCCAAATGCTTCTTTTGAAGAACTGGGGAACTTTTTCTGAGGGCTAGGGTTGAGACAGGGTCTCATCTATGTAGTCTGGTCTGGCTTTCAACTCACCATGTATGACTGTGTAGCCTGGTCTCAAACTTGTGGCAATTGTCCTGCCTCAGCCTCCCCAGTTCTGGATTAAAACTTTTTTTTTTCTTGTGAAGACATCAGACTAGGCATGCTGGTACATGCCTGTAACAACAGCACTTAGGAGGCTGAGGCAGGAGGATTATGAGTTCCAGGCCAGCCTTGGCTACATAGAGAGACCCTACCCCCTAAAAAAGAAGAACCAACATCAAAGTTGTCAAAATGAAAAAAAAATCAAGACTTCATTTTGGTGTTTCATAGTTCACTTTTTTTTTTGTCTTTTTGAGACAGGGTCTCCCTATGCACTTCAGGCTGGCCTTGAGCTCACTTTGTAGTCGAGGCTGGCCTTGAACTTGCAAAGATCCTCCTGCCTCAGCCTCCTGAGGGCTGGGATTACAGGCATGTGCTACCACATCTGGCTCAGTTCACTCTTGTTTTGTTATTGTTGCTTTGGATTTTTTTTTTTTTTTTTGAGACAGGGTCTTACTATGCAGTTCAGGCTGGCCTCAAATTCACAGCAATCGTCCTGCCTCAGCCTCTTGAGTGCTGGGATTGCAAGTATGTGCCACCACGCCTGGCTATTTTTTTTTTTTTTTCCTTTTTTGAGACAGGGTCTCACTATGTAGTTCAGGCTGGACTTGAGTTCACTTTGTAGCCCAGGCTGGTCTCAAACTCAAAACAATCCTCCTGTCTCAGCCTCCCAAGTGCTGGGATTACAGGCGGGCACCACCACGCTCAGCTCTGGCCATTTTATGAGACAGGATCTTGCTACATGGTCCAGGCTGGCCTTAAACTCATTATATAGCCCAGGCTGGTGCTAAATTCGGGGTGATCCTCCTGTTATAGGGTAGTTCTTTTTTTTTTTTTTTAATCTTTCTGAGACAGGGTTTCACTATGCAGTTCAGGCTGGCCTTGAACTCACTTTGTAGCCCAGGCTGGCCTCTAACTTGAAGCGATCCTCCTGCCTCAGCTTCCCGAGTGCTGGGATGACAGGCATGCGCCACCACACCCAGCTGGTAGTTCATTTAAAAATGGCTCGCCAATCAAAAGGATTCCAGGTCTTTCTTACCTTGAACAAAGAATTGGATGACAAAAAAAAAAAAAAAAAAAAAAAAGAATTGGACAAGCCAAGCCAATGATGGTGCCAAGTTTATTTGAAAAGTGAGAGGTGAATGGGTATGGACCCAGCTCTGCAAGGTGAGCCTGGGCTAAGCAGAGGAAAAGAAGGTAAAAACAAAAACAGAAGTACACAGCATCTGAGAAATGCCACACGGGCTATCTTGGGAACTCCCGAGAGTGGCTTCCCCTGAGGGCCGGTCCTTTTTATGCTGTCCACATCTTGTAGGAACTTGGGAGAAGTTCTACATGTGGGGTCCTGGTATTGCCCTGGGATCTTGCAACTGACAGGTCCTGCTCATCTTCCCCAGCCAGCTTTGCCACACCGTATCTCCTATACCACTCCTGTTTCAGCCTCCCAAGTGTTGAGACTACAGGTGTGTGTCATGACACCTGGTTTTGAGTATTATAAGCTGCAAATGAGGTCATTGCAACTTTTGAAGTATCTCCACTCTAGATCTGTGCACTGCCACAACCACCAGCTGCATGTGGCTATACAAATTTAAATTAATTAAAACTAAATAAAATTGGTATTTATTTTGTTTGTGATGGCAATCAAACACAGGGCCTCACACATGCTAGGCAAGTGTTCTGCCACTGCTACACCTGCAGCCTGGGTAAAATTTAAATTCAGGGGCCGGGGATATAGCTCAGTGGCACAGCGTCTTCCTGGCAAGCATGAAGTCTTGAGTTTGATTCTTGGTACAAAAAAAAGAAAATTTAAACTCAGTTCCTTGATCACACTTGCCGCAGTCATGGGCTCACCTTTCACGTGGCTGGCGGCTGTGCTACTGGACATAGCCGAGGAGATGACGTCATTATGCTGCAAAACTCTACCCACCCCTGGCAGGAAGCCCCTCTGCAGGTGAGAGGGACAGCAGACACAGGGAGAAGAGGTCCCCGCGAGATGGCTGGGCCCAGGAGCAAGGAGAGCCCCCCAGAGCCGACGCGTGAGCCAGGGGCGGGGGTACGTGTGGGCACCTGCAGGTAAAGCACGAAGGTGAGCCGCTCCAGGTGCTTCCTGTTCTCTGGCTGGGCCACGTAGGCCCTACGCAGGTTCTGGGCGGCCGAAGAGAAGTCGCAGAGCTGGATGAAGGCCTCCGCCCGTAAGGCGTAGAAGTCTACCTGAGGGTGAGGGGACCCAAGTTGCTGTCCGCTCCCTACCGTCCACCCCTCAAGGTTGGGGACGCTGCCTCCCTAGGCTGGACAGCCTGTGACCAGCAGGGACGTGGTCCTGAGAGGAGGGGCCTGGCGGGTGCGACGGGGGTGAGTGTCAGAGGCTCTCCGTGCCCACTCGGCCCCTCTCACCAGCTCCGGGTCCAGGTGGAGGGCGCGAGAGAAGAAGACAACGGCTGTCTCCCAGTCCTCTTGCTCCAGGCATCCCTGGCCTCGGTGGTAGCTGCGGGCAGGGAAGCATGGGCAGGGGGCTGGCCCCGACTGCTGCAGCCCAGGGCGTTCAGCTGGGACGCAGGCGGGCGAGTTGAGAGGTGCGGCGGGAGGGAGGCGAGAGGAGTGGGCGGAGCGCCGGGACCGGCGGGTGGGCGTTTCTGGCGCTCATCCGGGCCATCAGTCTTCTCTCCAGCGCCAGAAGCACCGTTACACAGTGGAGCTCACTGATGCCCAGAGAGAGATGGTAATGGCTGGTAGGGCGGGAACCTGGGGCCCAGGACAGGGCAGTCACTCACTATTCCCTGACTTTGAGAGGCACCATTAACCCTTTGGCCTTTGGTTTTACGTCATCGATGCCCTGGAACACCTGGCTGGTCCCAAAGATGTACTGCAGGTTCCCCCTTGGGGCTGGAATCACCCATGGCTTTGGGATGCTGTATGAGGAGGTCTGGCCAAGCTCCACGTCATCCTAGAACCAAGTGACAGCAAACGGGGACGGGCCTCAAAGAGGACCCCACCCTACGTGTACACTCCCCCAGTTTTACCCCGTTTCTGTACTGGGGGTAGGACCCAGATCGTTGTGCGTGCTAGGCAAGTGCTCTGGCACTGAGCTACACTCCCAGCCCTCTCCTCGGGTATCTTCCCAGGTAGATGGAGGAGGGGTGGAAACAGGGCCTGGAAGGCGGCACACGGAGCCTGGGGTCTGCAGCTCTCCTGAGCTAGTTCCTCTAAGGATGTTCCAACTTCTCTCTGCAGTCCTGCTTCCCTCCCTCTCCTATGGTCCAGAGGCTCCTCCTGACAGCCATAGCTCTAATGTCCCCCAGTTCAGGCCCTGCCCTAGGTCACAGGCCTTGGGGTCCCCCAGTCCCTTGGGTATCCTGTGGGACCCTCACACCCAGGGTATGCTATGCTGCGTAAACCCCTCATCTGCCGTCTGCCCCTCCACGCGTCACCTTCCCACCAGCTATTCATGCCAGAGACACATGTCCCATCAGCCCTCAAGTCCTCTCTGCGCCACTTCCTGAAAACTCCTCAGATCGCTCTTCTCCAGTGCCCCTCATCTGAGCCAATGTCTGTTTGTTTTTGTTTTTGGTTTTTTTCCGGTACCAGGAATCGAACTCATGACCTCGTGCTTGCCAGGCAGGCGCTGTGCCGCTGAGCTAAATCCCCAGCCCCTAATGTCTGTTTGTTTGTCTGTTTTTTTTTTCCGGTATCAGGAATCGAACTCACAACCTTGAGCTTGCCAGGCAGGCGCTTTGCCGCTAAGCTAAATCCCCAGCCCCTGAGCCAATGTCATCTGTCTCCACCTGGATGCTAGCTCTGACCACTCCTCCCACCTCCACATGGCCGAAATCGGAAGCTCTCGTCCTTGGTCCAGCGGCCAGGGCCTTCCTGAATTGCACTACCGGCCCTGACTTGGCCATACTTTCGTGCAGCTCAGCCCCGGCCTCCTTACCGGGCCTTCTACCTTGGCTTTAGCGTTCTCCCCAGGCTGCACCTCCCGGGAGTCTGTCATGAGGTCCCTCCTAGGAGTGGGCCTGAGCCAACCCCTTCCAGCCACCCTGTCGCTTTCCAGTTTAGGCCTCCACAGTTACTAGGCAACAGCTCCAGAACGCCCACAGGTTCCGCCACTTGGCCACGCCCCCAGGATCCAAAGGCTGTTAGAAAAGTTATTAGCGGGTCACACTAAGGTCTAGGGCTGGGTTTCTGCAGCGAGGAAGGCCCATAGAGGTGGCGTTAGGAGGTTCGTGCCTCCCAAACCGGAGATTAAGCAACAGCTCCGAGAATGCCACAATAACCCCACAGGGACCCGGTGACAAGTCACGGAAAGCGCGGCCACGCCCCGACGCGGCCACAGCCTCGCCACTTCCGCCTTTTGGAAACATGGCGGCCGCAGGGCGCGACCCCCATTGGACGCCCCTGAGCAGATAACGATGTGATTGGCTGAGGGCTTGTTGACGTCCAGGGGCGGGTTCGGACCCTGAATGGGAGCGGTATGTCGCGGTCCGGCGTTTTGCCTGCAGGGCTCTGGCCGAGTCGGACCATGAGGCGGTGTGTTTTGGAACCTCTGTCCCCAGGGAAGCGATGGCTGGTGAGTAGGGTGTGGGTAGTGACGTATGGGCTCGGGACGCCTAGCTGTCCTTCTGCCCCCGTCTCCGGGGTAAATTCCCCCAAATTGCTCTCTAGGTTTCTTATCTAGAAGAGGGGTCGGATACCGGACGGGCTGCTTTTAGGCGCTTCGCTTCTGTAATACGGCGTCCTGCCCGCTCAACCTTGTTTCTGGGAGTTCCTGGGCGCCGTTCGTCGTACCCCTACCCCACTCCAGCCCTGCTCTCCGTTTCTCCCCTGCTGTGGGTCTCGGAATGCTGTGCGATCGGGGGTGGTGGGAGTTTTCTGGCCTCAGTCTCCCCGGTGCCGCCCGCAGGTGGCTGGCCTGGGGAACCCCGGACTGCCCAGCACGCGGCACAGCGTGGGCATGGCAGTGCTGGGACAGCTGGCGCGGCGTCTAGGAGTGGCGGAGAGCTGGGTGCGCGACGCGCGCTGCGCCGCCGACCTTGCCCTGGCCCCGCTCGGGGATGCCCAGCTGGTCCTGCTCCGGCCGCGGCGGCTCATGAACGCCAACGGGCGAAGTGTGGCCCGAGCCGGTGAGTTGAGGGCTCCCGGGGTGAACCTGCTGAGTGGGCGCGGGGTCCGGAGAGAGTGCCTGTTGAGCTCCCAGCTGCTGCGAGGTTGGTACTTCGGGGAGCTTCTGCTTCTTTTTGTGTGAAGTGGGGTTCGTTGTGTGAGCCGGGCCAGCGCCTGTGAGGCCGATGGGCAGTAACCAGGGCCGCCCTTTTCCTGTGCTCAGCGGAGCTGTTCGGGCTGACGGCAGAGGAGGTCTACCTGGTCCATGATGAGCTGGACAAGCCCCTGGGGAAGGTGGCTCTCAAGCTGGGGGGCAGTGCCAGGTGAGGTCCCACTAAGGGCTGGGGTAGGGATGCTGGCCTCCAGGTGGGGTGGAGTAGGACTTCTGACTCAGGCTCCCCAGGGATGGGCCACTCTGAACCCAGCTGGGGCCAAAAGGGGTGGAGGGTGCCGCCCCTACCCCCAACACTAACTTCTCCTCCCTGATCCCTCCAAGGGGCCACAACGGAGTCCGTTCCTGCATTAGCTGTCTCAACTCCAGCGTGAGTCTGCCCCTCTGGCCGACACTGGGTGGGGGTGGCCAGGGTGGGGTCCCCAACACACCTCACCAAAGCTCCCTGGGTCCCTCTGGCTCCCTCACAGGCAATGCCAAGGCTGCGGGTGGGCATCGGGCGCCCCGCACACCGCAGCGCAGTGGAGGCCTACGTCCTTGGCTGCTTCTCCCCTGAGGAACAGGAGCTGCTGCCCTCGCTGCTGGACGGGGCCACTGACCTGCTCCTGGCCCACATCCGGGCACGAAGCCAGGAGCCCTCACCCAGCCCCTGACGCCAGTGGACATGGTTGCTACCTGATCACAGTGCCCGAAAACACAGCCATGGCCACAGAGCCACCACGCCCACTAAGGGTGTCTACTTTTTATAGAACTCTTCTCTGGGCTGTCCTGGGCCTCTTACAGATTCCCAGGGGCGACTGGCCAGAACAGTCCGTTTCTGGGGTGGGGTAGGGTTGGTCTCTTCGCGGTGCTACTTGGGACGCAGGAAAACTTCCGGAAGACTGAACTTTTTGAGCCTTTTTAGAGCACCGGAGGCATGGATCTGTAGGATTAAAGATGCCTGCTTGGGTGCTGAATCCTGGTGGGGTGGCTGATCTCACCTTTCTCCTGCCAGTGGGGGAGGGACAAGGCCCCGTAGGCCCCTCCCGGGGACGTGTGGGCATGCCCTGCCCCTCCCTTCTTCACATCTTACAGACAGGGAGACTCAGGGCCGTCGAGTCACACCCCGAAGGCCACGCAGTGTGTCCTGGCAGAGCCACACTGCCCCCACGCCTGGCTGCTGTCTTGCCGTCCCTGGTGCCCCTGGAGCCCTCACCTCAGGAGTGCTGTGTGCCCGGAGAGTCCCCATGCGGGTGATAGACGAGAGTAGCCTGAGGTCCTGGGGGTTGGGTGGGATGTGGCCTTGGCGAGGCACCAGGCCTAGATGCCCTGGCTGGGAAGCGGTGGTGTCAGACAGCTGCTGCTGCAGGACTCGGGGTCGGCTGTGGGGAGGGTCCTGGGCTCACGACCTCCATCTCCCGCAAGAGGAGGCCGAGGCTCAGAGAGGCCGTGGAGAGCCAGGCTTCTCTAGCACAGCAACGCAGTGGCCCCCCGGGTGGGTCCCTTCGCTGCCTCTTCTGAGGCCTCCGAGGGCTCCCTGCTCACCTCTGCTTGGGCAGGCCCCGGGGCTGCTTCTCGCTGCAGGCACATGCAGCTGTCTGGGGGTTCAGGGTGATGGCAGACCTGAGCAGGGCCAGCAGTTGCTGCAACAGCTCCTTGCACCGCAGCTGGAGAGCCACATCGAAGTCACCGTCGCTTACATCCGTGTGCATCTACCAGTGAGGGGCGGCTGGGGTCAGGCCTACGGTAGCCCCAGCACCCGCCCACCTTGGGAGCACTCCAACCCTACAGCCTGTTTTCTCAGTGTACCCTGGTGGAGATGAGTACCCATTCTCTGAGTAGGGAGACTGAGGACTGAAGCCTTCTAAGGCCTGAGGGGAAGAAGTCAGCTCTTTGGAGACCTTTTTTTGGGGTCTTTTTGAGACAGGGTCTCACTATGGAGTTCAGGCTGGCCTTGAGCTCACTTTGTAGCCCAGGCTGGTCTCGAACTCACAACGATCTTCCTGCCACAGCCTCCCAAGGGCTGGGATTACAGGTGTGCGCCACCACGCCCAGCCTGAATTCAGCTTCTTGCAGGTAGCCGAGTTCCCTGAGAGCAGCTGCTCCTGGTATCCGTCTTTGCCCCCTCATCCTCCACTTTCGGCTTACCTGCAGAATACACTGCACGTACAAGATGGCCTGGGCCAGGGTCACCTCTAGGCTGGCCCGAATCTTCTGCTCCTCAGTCAGCTCCTGCTGTAGTCGCTGTACCTCAGCCTGCTGCTGCTGCTGCTGCTGGTTCAGCTGGTCTCTCTGGTTCCTGGTGGGGGACAGGATGAGCCCACAGCCAACCTCTGTGCCCTGGCTGTGGCTGGTGGCCCTGGGGCCCGGGCCCATCCAAACCCAGGCCTCAGCCTGTCTGACAGGCCCCGGCCGTGAGGCCCGAAAGGGGTGGCCCACCCCCGCCACCCTGTACTTGCACACCGCAGAGCCTGGTTGTCCGTCTGCAGCTGCAGGACACTCTGCTCCAGCTGGTTCAGCAGGAGACGCAGCTGCTTGGCCTCGGCTACGCCCTGCTCCTGCCCACGGCACTTCTCAGTCAGCATGAGGATGATCTGCGGGGCAGGCGGGTGGCTGGTCCCGGGCCACTGGATGCCCTCAGTCTGCCCTGTCCCCCAAGCACCACACACAGCCAGGCTCACCCCCACGTACAGAGGCCAGCACCACCTCTGGAGAGCAGCGGGGCACCGGCAGGCTCTGTTTCAAGGTATCAGGGCTTTGAAGTTAATGATAATGCAGAGCTGGGACCGTCCCGGGGACCCCTCACGCAGAGGCCTGTCCCCACTGTGCCGCCTCCTTCATGAACAGTACTGGGCTCCTGCCCGAAGCCACTCCTCTGCGGCGGTGGGGCGGGGGGTAACCTGAGGGCAGGACCCCAGGTTCCTTCCAGCTTCATGTGCAAAATGTGCTTTGGGTGTAGTGGCCCATGCCTGTCATCCCAGTTCTTGGGAGGCTGAGACAGGAAGATCGCCATGAGTTTGGGCCCAGCCTGGGCTACATAGTGAGTTTTAAGGCCAGCCTGCACTGCATAGTGAGACCCTGACTCATCCCCTTCCCCTCTAAAAATCATGTGGCAGGTGCCCTGGGAGGAGGGCGTGGCAGGCACACCTTTTGGTGGCCCTTGTTGTTCCTGGCCATGACCTTCTGGCTGTCCTCCAGCAGCCCCAGCTGTTTGCGCAGCTCCACCTGCGTGCCCTTGAGCCGCTCGTTCTCCTGCAGCAGCTGCAGGCCTTGCTGGGACACCTTGGCCAGCTGCAGCGTCATGTTGTTGTTCTCCATGATGGCGCGCTTTGTCGTTTCCCACGTCTGGTCCGAGGCCATCTTGTGGAACTCGGCCGCCACCAGGTTCACTCGCTGGATGATCTCTTTCCTCAGTCTGCTCGGGTGGCGGGGGGGAAGGGGCCGGCAGAGGGCACACACCGTGGCACCCCTTCCTTGGTGGGTGAAGAGGAATTCTTGGGCCACATATAACGTATATAATTCATGTACATCAGTAATAAAGCTTTGTTTTTTAATAGTTACTATAATATGTTTTAAAAGAGGGCAAATGGCCTCTGGGCCACAGGTTGGACATGTCTCTCCGGATGTGTTTTGGGCCTTTGGAATTTGAACTACTGCAACCCATTTTTGTATGTTGTTATTGGATTATCTTGAATTCTCTGTGGCTGGCTTCTAACTTGCAGCCATCCTGCCTGAGCCTCCTGAGTGCAGAGATTACAAACATGTGCCACCATGCCCAGCTCAAAAATTAGTCTTTTTTTTTGGTTTTTTTTTTGGTACCAGGAATCGAACTCAGGACTTTGCACTTTCCAGGAAGACACTTATGGTGCTGAGCTATATCCCCAGCCCTTGCCACCTATTGTTAACTATTAAGTAAATATAGTTTTTTTTTTTATACTAGGAATCAAACTCAGGACCTTGCGCTTGGCAGGCAGGTACTTGTGCTGCTGAGCTATATCCCCGGCCCTAGTAAATATAGTTTGAATCACAAGAAATGACCAAAGGAAGCTCAGAGATTCTCCATCACCATCCTGAGTACTGGAGCTCTCGGCTTCCTCATTCTCTTTTTTTGTTGTTTTTTTCCTGTACCAAGAATTGAACTCACGACCTCGTGCTTTCCAGGCAGGTGCTATGCCGCTGAGCTAAGTCCCCAGCCCCTTCCGCTTCCTCGTTCTCACTAGGCACATCCCTGCCAGTGCTCTGGGGAGGCCTTGACTGCGTCCCGTCCCCTTGCCCACCGAGTGAGGTGTGCGCGGGCCCGGTGGGTGCCCAGCCTGCCCACCTGTCCTTGTCCAGCACCGACTTCTTCTCCAGGTTGTACACGTAGTCCTTGTACTCGTTCTCCTGCTTCTGCAGCTGGTCCTCCAGGGACATGAACTTGTCCGTGAGCTCCTCTTTCTGCAGCCGGAACTCCTCCAGGGCGGCCAGCTTTCCCCCTGCCCGCCGAGGGGCACAAGCCGGGTGAGGGGCTGGCGCAGAAGGCCTTGAGTGATGCCCCTCGGGGCACCTGCCATCCCCCTCTGCCTCATGTCACGCGCCTGCAGGGCTGGCCGTGCACGTGCTGTACCCCTACATAAAAGCTGCCCGCCTTTGTTACCTTCATCTGGAGTACCCTACTGCCATCCGCCGCCAAGCTGACAAAGCCTGGCCAGGCTCCACCTGTCCCAGGCACCTGCCCTCGATTCTGTGCTCTGCTCCCTCTCAAGAGAGTAACTGACCACAGCAGCCGGAATCGAACACCTTCTTGCGCCCAGGCCCTCATGCTGCTCATGGCCTTGAAAGGGCCACTGCCTTTTTGAACAGCCGCCAGCCTCACAGATGGCAGGGACAGTGGAGGAAGACGTGCGCGCAGCAGCCCGTGTCTGCTGAGTCAGCCCTTGTCCCAGGTGAGAAGACAGGGTCACAGAGAAGGTCACACACAGAGCCACGCTGCGCCGGTGGCCTGTGCCCCGGGCTCCCGGCCAGTCCCCTGCTCACCAAGGACAATGTTCTCCGTGGTCAGCTGGTCCTTGGTCTCCTGGAACTCATGGCGCACCTGGGCCAGCTGTGCCTCGAAGGCGTCCTTCTCCATCTCCTTGGCCAGCTGCAGGCTCTGCAGCTGCTCCTTGAGGTCGGTGATCTCGTCCACCTGCTGGTTGAGCGTGTGCTTGAGGAAGGCCACGATCTCCTTCTTGTTGTTGGCCATCTGCTCAAACTCCTGGCGGGACAGCCTCTCCTGTGAGGCCAACTCATCCGACTTCCGCTGGTACCTGGGGCGGGGGCAGGGCAGAGGGCCAGGGTTGGGGCCAGGCAAGCCAGACCTCTGGGACTGCACCCGCTCTCCTGGACACACACACACCCCTCCCCGGCCTTAAAGGGGCATCTGAACTTCTTCACCACCCTGCATGCCCTATTGCTCAGCATTTCATGTTTGTTATATCACTAGATTATAAGCCCTGGGTAGGCCAAGCCTTTAGTGCAGTCATAGGTGTGGCCCCAACATCTGTGCCTGATACCTAGCAGGTACCCATTTGTTGAGCCCTCAAAACCTAGAAGGATGTAGGTAGTATGATGGTGGTGCCCATTCTATAGATGGGGGCATTGAGGCTCAGGGGGATGAAGATACTCCTAGCTAAGAAGTGGCAAAGCCAGAACTTGAACCTCAATTTGACCCAAAGCCGAGGCTTTTAGCCCTGGTGCCCATGCCGCAGCTGGCCAGCTCTGCATCCCTCCTTGACACCCTCACAGTCCCAAGGCTTTGCACCTTTTGCTGTCGTCCTTATCCTTGTGCCCCGAATGAACCCACTGCTGCCTCTTCACTGGTTCTTTCCAGCTCTGAGCCAGATTCTTGTCCCTCTCTCCTGCTCTCCTGCTCTCCTGCAGGTTGAACCTTGCCCCACTGGGTGGTCAAGACCCAGTGACTTCACCCTTCTCCTCCACTTGGCAAACCCCTGACCTCCTCCAACTCTGTATTCTTAGGGCCCAGCAGAGAGCTTGGCAAATACCAAGCACCCAATAACTGTCCGACAAATGCATTTTTCCTGATACATTCCATCTGGTGTCTCAACTCAAGGAAACCTGTGAATTTTCAGAGCACGCTATAACAGACTAGCTGCCAACAGAATAATTGCAGCTGCTTGCAAAGTTGTTCTACCCCACCATTTACTGAACTGACACTTTTCAAAAGGCTTCTGTACACAGGGCACCTCAGGATTATGGAGCCGCAAGACTCCTGGGTGACAGGGAAGGAGCCCAGTGTTGGGGAGGCAGAGAGGCCAGGCTGTAATCCCGGCACTTCTTTCTAGGGGTGACTCGCCGAGCCTCAGCAGCCCCATCTCTGCCTGGGGTGGGGGGTGAGGTATCTCGTGGGACTGGTGTGAGGACATCGGAAATGCAGTATTAGGCAGAAAGTTAGGCGTTGTCAGGGTGGGAGACAGGTAGCAGGGGCTACTTGAAAAGCAGAGAAAACAATGTTTGTTTCTTTCTTTCTTGTCTTTTTGAGACAGGGTCTTGCTATGCAGTTCAGGCTGGCCTTGAGCTCACTTTGTAGCCCACACTGGTCTTGAACTCGTAATGATCCTCCTGCCTCAGCCTCCTGAGTGCTGAGATTACAGGCGTGCACCACCACTCCTGGCTCTGTCTCTTGCTTTCTTAATCAATAGCTATAGGTAAAATCCACATAAGCTTGTGGTAACATCTTCTGAGTGTGCTGATAAACTCCAGGGCCTAAACTGAATCCAGAGCATGGGTGAGGCCAAGGGATTGGAAAAACCTGAAAGTCTCAAAACAAACTAAACCCATAACACCCACTGTTGGAGACCACTACAAAGTGGTTCTGAGCAGGATTTAGTATTAACCACTTGGCTTTCCGTGTTCACTTGTGCATCTGTCCAAGGCCCAGGCTCCTTACCTGGAAATGGCGGACTCATAGTAAGTGAACCTCTGTGAGTCACTAGTCCCTACTAGAACTTGCAGTGGTGGATGAAGCCAGAAAGCCTCAAAGGACAAGATAAGATCACAGCCAAGGACACCTGGATCAGATCACAACTAGATGAAGACTACAGCCTCAGGCATCTCAGTCTTCAGTGGATTAACTTCATACCTTACTTCGAGAAGTCCTTGAGTGGTTCTGCCCTTCTTGGGTACTCCCTTCCCTTCTGATAACCAAATGAATATGGGCCACCCAGAGAAGGTCGTGATCTTAGCCCTGAGAGAATCTTAAATTCTGTGAGAGGGTTTTGATCCTCCTGGAGCCCTGGAATCATTCCATTTGCCTCTTTCATTTAGCCTTCGCTGTACACTTGTTCAGGAGATTTCAGACTTGATCAGCCCACAATAACTAAGGGATATTAACCCCATAACCCACCTATGGAGTGAACAATGACCTAGTAGGTGAACAAAGCCTGTTTGCCTTGTGAAAGAACAATAACCTCCAGCCTGGCATGGTGGAGCACGCCTGTAATCCCAGCACTCGGGAGGCTGAGGCAGGAGGATCGTTGTGAGTTTGAGGCCAGCCTGGGCTACAAAGTGAGCTCAATGCCAGCCTGAACTGCATAGCGAGACCCTCTCTCAAAAAGAAAAACAAAAAACAAAAAACGATAACCTCAGAGAAAGGAAATTCCTTGAAAGACTCAGCTGGGGGGGTGGGTGCTTGGTGGTGAATGCCTTTAATCTCAGTACTCAGAGGCTGAGGCAGGAGGATCACTGCAAGTTCAAGGCCAGCCTGGGCTACAGAGCAAGGCTGTGTCTCAATCAATCAACCAATCAATCAATCAATCAAAAAAGTAAAGACCCAGTTACTCATATAAATGTACGCCAAGACCTCGTTCAGTGCAGTTGCCATTTTGGCACTTGCCCTCCTTCATGCGGGAAGGTCTTCTCTCTGATTTTGCAACACACCCTACCTGTACTCTAAATGACAGGCTGCACGTCTTGCCTGGACCCTTGCTTCAAAGAGTGGAGGTGTGCTGCCGGATGCTTGCAGTGGTAAGGCCCAGCTTCCTGCAGACACCAGCCTAGGTTCCCCTGGTGCAGAGACTCACCACTGGCTGTGACCATCCTCAGCCTCCACCACGGGGATGAGCTGCTGCCTGCTCGTCTTTCACGGGTCACCCTGAAACTTGGGCTGGTGCCTCACGACTAGGAGGAAGCTCATTTTTTTGTTTCTGTTTTTGTTTTTTTTCCCCGGTACTGGGTATCGAACTCACGACCTTGCACTTGCCAGGCAGGTGCTGTGCCGTTGAGTTAAATCCCCAGCCCAGAAGCTCTTTTTAAAACACATCTCTAAGTGAAGGGTAGTGGATCCCCTCCGCTAACTGGTCACACACAAAACTAGCCATAGGAGAGAATGTCACCATCATGGAGGGGAGAGTCAACCTTCCTTATTTACATTAGGGGAAGCCAGGTGTGGTGGCATGCACCCTTGTAATCCCAGCACT